GAATAATATAGTTACGGAGACATAATTTTTCTCTACCCTCATCCCAATTCTGTAAAATAGTAAACCAAATCTAATTTTAACAATTTTCCCTATATTTGCATAAACTCATTGGGCAGAGTAAACAAGTAGAGTGTTGTTGGCTTTGTTGAAAATTCCACAGGCCTTAGCGTGAGCTTTTTAACATCCAGTCCATGCCGGCTTTATCAAAGTCACAGTCTCACCAATCTTCACCTGAGATTTCCTCTTCTCAAGGTTCCCAGGACTTTTTCCAGGGTTTTCCTCAGTCCTGTCCATGGAGGCAGCTTCCTCATTTTTCATGGAGGTCTCTGGAACCCAGTAAGCAAGGTGACAGGCTCTTCTTGGCTCGCTCTTGTCAGCTCAGCACAGTTTATTATTCCCAGAAGAATTTCAATCAAAGCCTTGTAACAAAACATGTTTAATTTACCAGGTTAAGGAGAAATAAATAAAATTCCCTATTGAGATTATGCAAAGATAGACATTGTCCTGAGAAGTACAAATATTGCCTATAAATTTTTGGGATGAGACAAGAGAAAAGCAAATGCTTCAGTTTGTTCATAAAAAGATGCAAATTGTCATTGTTAAGATCATAGCCCAGCTTAAAGACAAGGTTTCTGGAGACCCAAAAAACCAAAACATTAAAAACTAATTTTTTTTTTTAAAAGTCATGAAATATTATTCAAATCTTCCTCAGTGTACTTTCCATATATTAAGTCTCCATCTTCTGTTGGTAATTTTCATAAATCAAATTTTTATAGGCTCGGTAGGTCTTTTCAGTTCCAAAACATATCTATATTGTCAGTCTTTTTTTGTGAGTTTTTTTTAAAGACAAAGCTCAGCAAATAAACTTTAGAAAGAACAAAAACTCGAAAATGACCATACCTAAAATCATGGCTTAAGGTAAAAGACAAGGATGTTTGCTCAATTTTGTGACACACATACACATATATATTTTAGTATAATTAGAACCATCCAATAATATTATACCAGAACATACTAGGTTTTAAAAATCGCATATATTTTAGAACACTTTAATCAATTTTATATATGCTGAAAAGGTATAACTTTTTTTCTCAATGACAATTTTTATGAAGTTTTAACATTTCTAGATTGGTCCAATGTGTTTTAGCATTTTGCTATAAGGAAAATAATTTATTAAGAGTCCTAAGACGCATCAAATAATTTTACTTGATTAAAAAAAAAACTTTACCATTTTTGAAATTTGACTCCAAGAAAAGTTTCTTTACAGGCTTAATAATATATACAGATTTTTATAAAACAACACTAAGGTACCCAGAGTGATAACTAGAGGTTTTTAAAAGTAGATATATTTTCACAGTGCTCAACAATGCTGACAGGACTATATTTTTTAGTTTACCAAGTCCAAGGGTAAAAGAGAACCAAGATTACAGATTACCTAAACAGTTTTTAATTTGTCATCAAGAACTAGTAAAAGCAGTTTAAGAATACTTGAGCCTTTACTGCAGATGGAAAAGAAATTAAATTTTGGTTTTACGTAAGTACACCACTGATAATAAATTTGAATATTCCTAAAGCAAGTCATTCTAGCACATACCATTTTTTTAAGATACCTCTCTCAGATCTGCAAAGCTTTAACACCTTTTTTTTTTTCAAGATAGCTATTTTGTTTTGACACTAAATTTTTTAGACCTTTAGCATATTTTTTTACATACATATTTTAACACAATTTCGCTTTATTTGCATTTAGAGTTACAACATTTTAGTTTTTAATTTTTAGATTGTAAGACTGTTATAGAAGACTTTTGTCTTTATTTATGCCCACAGGCCCAGAGATCTTTTTCCAAAGTCCAAGCCCCCAGCAATTAGGCAATAGAGCATCCATTGCCCCAGCAGAGGCACATTCATCGCACTTTAAAGCAAGCAGGGAGTACAGAAGCTGGAGACTCCCAAGAGGTCATCTGGTCATCTGGGGCACACAAGTCAGGCGCCTGGCCAGAGAAAGTCCATCAGTCACTCCCTGAAACTTTTAGTCCACTCTGAGGCCTTGTCCCAACAAAACATTAGCTAATTAACAGGCAAGCCTCACATTTTTTACTTTAAGACATTGTTAGAGCTGTTATATTATTATTCCTTTGTACTGGATAACTCATACATAAACACATGTTTTATTTTTTTCTGGATGATAACAATAAAGTTTTGTTTTCCTACTATAAGAAGCAAAAATACACCAAAAGCTCATCAAGCAGTCAACAAACTTTCGTTATTAAACTTAGTAAATCCTTAGTTTTATAGGAAAAATATGCCACCATTTAAATAATGATAAGAACAGAGATACCAACTGTAGCTCTAGTTTTTCTTAGGATACGAAGTTCAAATTGCAGAGTTATAAATGAAACAAATTTATATACCAGAGGTTTTTCTTTTTTTTTTTTCCTTGGCTAGGACAAGGGAAGGAAAAATCAATTAAGTTGCTTACCTGGGGAACAAAGGTATTTCTTTCAAGGTAAAGAAATAGTGGGCCAGTCTTTTTAGAAGAGAATTTTATCAAAAAGAAGTCCAGCTATAAACAAAATCACACTTATCTCTGTTAACATAGACCAGGTCAATATTTTTTCTTTTTTTTTTTTTTCTTTTTTTTTTGACCACTCCAAATTTTTTAAAACACATTTAACATACAATAAAACTTTTAACTCCCAACATTATAAATCTTAGACATATGTGCTTTAATTAAACCATTACATTTTGAACTACTTTTTGTTTACCAAAAATTTTAGATCGCGGTCTCAAAATTTGGGTTCTTTTCTATTAGAATTTATATAGGCGCCATTTAAAATGATTTTTAACACAGTAACCCTCCAGAGACAAAAAAACACAAAGGCAAAGACATAGACACAGAGATCTCTTTCATTTAGAATTTTGGCCATTTGCACTAATTTTTAGAGATAGTTATTTTACCAATATTTCTGACAACACTGACAACAATTATTAATTTGCTTTTTAATATCTTTTCTAACTAACTCCTTCAGATAAGAAAACATTTCTCAAGTTATATTTGTAAGAATGCCCCTTAGGTTCTAAAGAAAGTGGGGCATAAAATTCCCTATCAGTTTTCTAAGGCCACATATTCCTTTAAATTCCTAGAAGAGATATTGGATGGGTAGACAGTTTCACCAAAACTATATCCCTTTTAATACAAAGATAGACTAATTCCTAAAACAACTTAAGTTTTCAAGTTAAGTTGATATAGCCATCTAAGTTCTGTTTTTTTTTTTTTTTTTTTTGTTTTTAATCAAGGAGGTTTCCAATAAGAGAGATGGAAGTTAAAGTCCTTACATGTTCTAATAAGCATCCCATTTTAATCATTTTAAAACCTCTAGAACCTGGGCCTCCCCTGGTGGCGCAGCGGTTGAGCGCTGGGTTGCGAAGCTGCCCGCAGCCTCTGCAGCACCGGTTCGATCCCCGGCTGCTCCCCGGCCACCGGGGGAGGGTCCCACCTGGCGCACAGACCCCTCCTGCCGCCCGCTGCTCCCCTCAGCAGTGTACTTCGGTCCTTCTGCCTGCTCTGCTCTCCGCTCTGACTCTGGTGAATTCTCTCACCCTCCCGCGCCTCTGACTGTACCCAGTGCTTGTATAAATAAATAAATAAATCTTAAAAAAAAAAAAAATAAAATAAAACCTCTAGAACCCAAGATTGGAACCATTTTTAAAGACAAGCATAGAAAACTCAAATTGCTTCACAGAGTCCTAGTTTCTGTTTGACCTCACGGATGAGGCCTGGTCCTAAGAAAGATAGAACATGGGCCATGAGATATACATGGGCCACGAGAAGGACAGCAGAAGAGGCAGATTAAGATCTTAACTTGGCAGCTTATTTGTTCTTAGATTCTTACTAGAAATTTGATAAGGAATATTATTTACAGAAACCTACTATGTAGTTTGATTAGTAAATTGATTATTTTAAGAGACTTAGATTTTCAAGGAAACCTAAAATTTTATGGTCAATAAGAAGTTTAGAAATTTTCCAACCAACTAGCAAGCTTCCTTTATAGCTAACTAGAAAGTCCAAAGTAATCTTGACAAAACCATCTGAGCCTGATCCCAGAAGTCTCAGCACAGGATCAGAAAAAGCCTGCAAATTTAGAGGAAGAAAACACCTCCTTAAAGTGGAGAACACTCTCTTCAGCTTACTTTACATCCAATTATTACAGTGACTGGTAAATACTGAGTTAGGTATCTGACTAAAACATAAAAAGCAGAAAAATACCAAATTTTTAAATTATCCAAGACCTGATTCCAGATACTTGCTTGAATTCCTTACACAGGCACAAAGATCAGATTCACAAATCTATTTGCATAAAATGGGGAAAAGGTAAGGTAAGACAAGAATAGAAAAACTGAAAAAGAGGTGTCCACAAGACCCAAAACCTGGCTCACAAAATGCCAAGAGCTGGAGGCCTGGGTAGAAGGGATTAGCATAGCCATTGACACAGCTATGGAAACCAAGATCCTCAGTCTCCAATGCCTAGATTACAAAGCATAACACCCAAGCAGGTATAAAGATATGGAGATTGGGCCTATTGTAGAATTGGGCCTATTGTAGAATCTCTGGTCACTTTCAGATTCTACATAATTATCCAGAATCAGCAACTAACCCGAAGGCTCACAAGTGGCGAATCCCTCCCAAACAGAAGACAACTATATCCGTTCAATCTCTGCACAGGCTCTGGAGAGCACTCCGTCTGCCCACCTGTGCCTAAGTAGCTTCCTCTTTTCACCAACCCTCTCCCTCTGCAGGGCAGCAGCCTCCCTGCCTGCCCATGACCTGTCTCTCTGGGGCCTCTCCTCACTGACCTCCCTCAGCGGAGGTCACTCTCCTCAAAGCCACCCACCTGCAACCACGCAGGCCTCTCTCAGCAAACCTGTCCCTCCTGGGGCAGCTGTTCCTGCCCGCTTGTGTCTCCTTTACTTTCCTTGTCCCCTTTCCCTAATAAACCTGTCCTTTCAATATAACTAATGTCTCTGTCTCGTGGAGAAACTGGCCTGGGAAGCTTGCTGCAGGTCCCTGAAACAGGAGCTCTGGCAACACCTTTCCCATAGTGAACCCAAAGACCCTGCACTCCAGACCCACTAACTCCAAAAAACAACATCAAGTAGAAGTCCTGGTCCAAGCCCAGTTTTCTCTCTGGAACAATTACAGTCCTTCCAGCCATCTGCCAATGTCCTAGAAGAGTCAGAATAATCTTAGGTTGCCTAAAGCCAAAGCATCTGGACTGACACTGAATGTCAGGGTAAGATTTTAGCAGAGCATAGATAAAAGGAGCTCACAGGTGAGCCAGCCAATGTGGAAAAGGAGAGTATATTGCCTGGCTCTTGTGCTAAAAAAAAATCAGTCTGTTCCCCACAATCAGTTTTTCCTGGGCTCCTGCAGGGAAACCGTGATAGGGGTTGCTTCTTAGACATAGGTTTGTAGCTACAGGCCGACCACTCAGTTAATATTTTCCCCAAGGGGCTTTTAGATGGAACAAATACGGCACCTCTCATAAGTTTAACTAAATCCCTGGCTTCCAAAAACAAACGGGAAACTCCAAATACCAAATACCAAATAGATATCAAGTGAAAAAAACACCAAATGTTTCCCAATTCCCACTCAACCGGGCCTAACACACCAAAGAGCACTCCAAATTGAGGGAGACTCATAGACTCCCTCCCAAATGAGGAGACCTGAACTCCCTCCGCGAGGGGACTCAGATTCCTCCCGAATGTGTGAAGGCCAAGGTCTTGGCGTGCACGCCAGGAGAACTTACACCAAACGCCAGGGGACCGCGGTTTTCCATCCAGTTTCCATCTCCTCAAAGGTAAATCCAGGGTGCAGAGAAGAGCTGTGCCTCTCCCGAGGAGGACTTGGGAAGTTCCCCGGAGGAAAAAGAACTCCGGCAGCTGCTGGGACTCTCCCTCGTCCTCCTGGAGAGAGGGCGCTCCCTCGCAGCAGGAGGGTCAGGATGCCACCCGGGATGCCCAGGCCCCTCTCTGACAGCACAGACCAGCATAGATAGGTGAGCCCCGGTGCGCTGCAGCAGGCAACAGCTCCGTCAGTTGGAAGTCAGAGTTGGGGTTGGGAGAGCCAAAGTGGCATCCACCTCCTGGCTGGCTCGCCAAAATTGTTACTGAACGTCGGCCTCAGTTTCCCTCAGCCAATAAAAGGAAACTAAGTTTGAGGAAAAGGAAAGCGGTTTTATTTGTCGACAAATGAGGAGGGAGGCAGACTCATGTCCGAAAAACCACCGTCCTCCTCTTTGGCAGCGGGCAGGGGTATTTATACAGGGGGAGATGGGTAGAGGTCCGCGAAGGGGAGGGGGAAGGGGTCCGCACAGAGACAAGTGGGCGCCAGCTCAACAGGGAGATGGATGGGTGTCAGCTCCTTCATCTTAAGGGAAGGGGAAGGTGTCAAGGCACAGAGACGGGTGATCGCCAGCTTGTTTTCCTTAGGGCGAGGGGGAAGGGTCTACAGGGAAACCGGTGGGCGCCAGCTTTTTTTTTCTTCCCAAGGGGAGGGGAAGCTGCAACAAATGGGAAAGACAAGTCATCAATCCTGTTAATGCTAGATAAGGGGAATTGCAAAAAATGGGGGAAAGACAAACTTGTTAACTGTATCACAAGGACTGATCAATCACTGATTAACCAGTTTGATGACAAATGGCAGTGCGTGATACAAATATTACTTTTATAAAACTAGTAGTTCTCTGCCAAAGGCAGCAATTCAACATTTGGCCTTACATGAACAAGTGAAAAAACTTCTGGGAACAAAAGGCTCTAAACATCCCTGGGCCAAGTCTTTTAGCATGGAGATGTGGCCATTTAAGGCAAGGGCTAACTGGAGGAAAGTCTTTTTTACTTTACAGTTAAAGATAACAGTTGAATGTCAGAGGTGAGCCAAGCTCCAGGTAGAAGAAAACTCTTGATAAGCCAGAAGGCACCATAGTCAACTCCTGCTAGTTCATTCCTGTTTATTTAGGGCGAATTGGCATGGAAGCTGTCAGAGTACACATTCAAGAATAAATCGACAGCAGTTTTGTGACTGGCTGAGCTAGCTACAACCATCTTTGGCCATGCCTCTGATAAAATATTGGTAACTCCTTCCAACTACAAACAACAATCAGCAATCTTACAGAGAAAGGAATTTTCCCTTAATCTTAAAGTTAAACATGGAAACTAGGCTGCCTAGATAAGTAGAAGAGTAATAGGCAGAAAACTCCTTGTTTACATTAGGGGAATTCCTCCCTGAAGGGAGAGCTGGGGGCTAGGGAGGAGTCAGTGCAGCTTACCTGGTACCATCGCCCTCCAGGCCCTGGGTTCCTTAGTAGCCCATCAATATTAAAACAATATACTATAGATGACAACTTCTAGATAAACGCCTTCTGGTTTCTGCTTTAATCAATGAGTTATATGTTAGTCTCAACTTTAAAGGTTAGTTAGAAAAAAATCCCTGTCTCCCTTCCCCCAGGTACTTCCTGCCCTTTGTTTCCCCAGCCTTAGTTAATCCTTCACTCAGTAAACATGGAAATGTGAGCTCAGCCACAGAAGCCTTTTGCTAGTAATAACCTGACTGGTCGTTTCAGATAAATGACTATTCTGAGAAACTTTTGTTGAGCTAATGAGCCTCCTTTAAATCAAAAAACAACAAATGTCACAGCTGTGAGACTTAGCCACTATCCCTCCATCTTGTGTATCACTGCCATCTCAGTATTTCAAGTTTTGCTTACTCAAGACTAAATTGCCTGCATTCCAAAGAGGGTTTATGACCCCCACCCCACTCTGGTCTTATCTCAGACAGCCAGCCACAGTGGAGCCGAGTAATGGGTCTAACTGGCCATAAAATAGAACCGAGCAATGCAGGCCACTAATGGGGTCAAACTGTAACAGGGAACCTCCCCGGGGACCCAGGAAAGGGGGAGGTTCCCTGTTACAAAACTAGCCATAAAATAACTGTGTACCCACCGTTGTTAACAAATGCACCTGTGTAATTGTAACAGGGTGGTCCCCAGGAAAGGGGGAGGTTCCCTGCCCCACCCAAGAGAGGGTGGAGCTGAGCAGGAAGAGGAGAAGCCGCAGAAGAGACTGAGGAAGGAAGGAAGCAGGATGGAGCCAGGAGACCTGGAAGAGGCGCATGGAGCCTAGAGACACGTGAAGAAACTGTGCTTGTCTTTTGGTCGTGGACTGGGTGACACAGATGTGGGTGAGACCCGTGGGGAGGTGACAATGGCAGCTTTTATCTTGATGTTGATTTTGCTCTTTTCCTTCCGGGCTTGTCTAGTTGTTTGTGACCCTTTTCTGTGGGTCCCCACTGGAAGATGCTTTAGACTTGTAGCAGGCTTTGGGGCCTTGCTTTGGGCCAATCCCATTTGGATGGACTTTTACCCACGAGGGGACGGGTAACTTTGGGTGCTTCATTTAAAAAATAGACTCTTTACCTCACCTGTATTGTTTCCTAGTTTTATTAAAGTTCCTTCCCATTAAAGTGTTATATGTTTTGTGTTGATGCGGCGGATGGCAGAACCCATTTAGAATAGGCAGGTTTGTGGGGCTTGGGCTGCCCCTCTCCCTGTCCTATAACAGATTCAATGAATGATGTACCTATGTAACTAATGAATGATTGCCAACATGATTTAATTTTTAGAAATCTACGTGTACCCCTATATAAGATCCCTGTTCCCTTTGTTCAGGGCTCCCGACCTCCACCGTTACATCGGTGAGTGTCGTGGGCCTGGACTCGAGCCTGTAATCAACTCCTTTATGCTCTTGCAGCGGCTGTCTGTGTGTCCTTGGGGGCTGCGCTGGTCGACGCTGGGCACAACATTTTGGGGGCTCGTCTGGGATCGACGAGTGCAGACCCCAACTACCTAGCAACCGAAAGGAGTCTCAAAGCGTGCAGGTGGGTGTCAACACTCGCCCAGGTGAGGTGTTAGTCTGCAGACCTGTAGTACTGAGTACCTGTATGTGTATTGTTTGTGGAGCTGTAATTGTTTGCAAACCTGTGATTTTGGTCACCAGAGGGCTTAAGCGGACGTGCTGGCAGGCCCCTGGCGTGGACCGCGGGAGACGTCCCGGACCACCTGGTAGAAAACCCTCAGCCTATGTGGGGGAGCAGATTCCCCTTTGCGGGGCCTTCTGAAAAGTCGATCTTTGGTCTGTTTTTTGGGTCAGTTGTTACTGTGATTCTAGTATTTGTCATCATGGGTCAATCGCCATCTACCCCATTATCTGTGGTTTTACAGTATTTTAAAGATGTCAGGTCCAGGGGGTCGGACCTCGGTACAGAAATAAAGAAGTCGTCTTTAACTACTTTTTGTTCCTCAGAGTGGCCACAGTGCGGAGTTGGTTGGCCCCCAGAGGGAACTTTCGATTTACAGGTTGTCCGTCGTGTGAAGGAAGCTGTCATCCGTAAAGGAAGACGCGGATATCCTGACCAACTCCCGTATATCTTAGTCTGGCAAGATCGAGTCCAGAACCCCCCTACCTGGTTAAAGCCATTTTTGTCATTACAGGCACAACCCAGACCTCCGGCTAAACTGCTTGGGTCCCACCCCAACACTTCGTCGTCGGCACCTGCGGATTTTCAGGACTCTCCTCCAGAGGAACTTCTTTTTCCACCACCCTATCATAACCCTCCTAACAACCCTCCCCCTCCCCAACCTCCACTGTCCTCAGAAAAACCTCCCCTGGAGGCGGGCTGGGCTCCCGGGCAGGGTCTGGCTGAGGGCGAATTCCCCGGACTCCACACCCCTGCGCGTGGCAGGGTCCCCGAATGAGCAGGGCAACCAGCCTATGCACGACTGGCCGTTCGCGACCAGTGATCTCTACAACTGGAGAGTGCAAAAGGCACGTTTCTCCAAAAACCCTAGAGACCTTGTTCATCTGCTAGAGACTGTTCTGTTTACTCATCAGCCCACCTGGGATGACTGCCAGCAGCTCTCCCAGGTTCTCCTCACCACTGAGGAGCAGGATCTATACTGACGGCTGCCAGGAAGTTCGTCCCTGGAGAGGAAAGACGCCCACCACCAACGCGGCCCGCATAGACTTAGTGTTTCCCTCGACCCGACCTGACTGGGATTTTCACCAGGCTGAAGGTAAGGAGAGACTCCGGGGGCACCGCCAGACTCTAATGGCAGGGTTGCACGGCAGCCCGCAAACCCACCCATTTGGCCAGGGTAGGGCATGTGCGACAGGGAAGGGAGGAGACCCCCGAGGCTTTTCTAGAACGCCTCATGGAAGCTTCTCGGCAATAAACTCCTATGGATCCGGAGGCAGAGGAAAACAAGGCCGCGGTGGTAACGGCCCTTGTTAACCAAGCAGCTCCTGACATCAAACAGAAATTACAGAGAATAGACAGGCTAGGAGAAAAATCTAGTTGAGATCTTATTGAGGTTGCAGAAAAGGTGTACCATCGCCGCGAAACTACTGAACAGAGAGAGGCCCACACCCGCTGGGAAGAACGGAAGGGAAGAGCGGCTGAACACGCACGCCATGCTTGGGATATGGCCAGAATCCTGCTCGTTGTCACTCGGAAGAACGACTCTGGTAAGCTACCCTCCTTCCGCCGCCCCAGCTCCACACGCAGGACTCTGCAGCGTGATCAGTGTGCAGACTGCACTCAGAAAGGACACTGGGCCAGGAATGCCCAAAGCAGCAGGGGAGGACCTCAAACAACACTGCTGCTTCTGACACTCCTGTCCTGGTGCTCGGGGGCATGAGGGATGACAGCGACTAGGGGCGTCAGGACTTGACCCTCCCGGAGCCCAGATTAACCTTAAAGTGGATGAAGACCCCTGAGTTTCCTTGTGGACACGGGAGCACAGCATTCAGTTCTCACAGGACCTCTGAGCAAGCTGCCCGACAAAACAGCATGGGTGCAAGGGGCTAACGGATGCCAGCAGTATCCCTGGACCACTAAAAGGCCCGTGGATGTGGGTAAAGGTCAGGTTTCGCACACCTTCGTGGTGATCCCTGAATGCCCGTACCCGTTCATTGGAAGGGACCTTTTAACCAAAGATGGAGCACAAATCTCGTTTGGACAGGAAGGAGTTAAACTTAGAGACTCGAAAGGTTCTCCCCTGCATGTCCTCAGTTTCTCTTCAAGATGAGTACCGCCTGTGGCTGACGCCAGACCACCCAACCCTTTCCGAGTGGTGGATGAAGTCTTTCTCGAATGTTTGGGCAGAAACGGCAGGGGTTGGCCTGGCGTCCCATCGACCACCCATTATAGTCCAACTAAAGGCAGAGACTGAACCCATTCGGGTAAAGCAATACCCTGCGTACACCCACCGATGTAACGGTGGCGGTCGGGAGCCCGGACTCGAGCCTGGAATAAACTCCTTTATGCTCTTGCAGCGGCTGTCTGTGTCCTTGGGGGCCGCGCTGGCCGACAATGGGCTCAACAGCAGCCTCTGCGAAAGGGTCAATCAACCCTGGCTGCTCTGGGAAAGATGTGACTGCTCCCTTCCTCGTGCCTGTGCTCACGCGCTCTCCCGGGTGGCCTGAAATGCATATATGAAGGGCTGCGGAGACCCTCAGCAGGACGAGGCCCGCACCCCACCGAGTGTCTGCGTCTCCTCATCCCCCTCCCTTGTCATTCTCTACAGTTGCGCCACCGCCGTCCCATCCTTCAGGAACCCCTGACACCCAGACGGCGCCCTCTAGCCCTCCGGCCCTTGCCCGCCCCCCCACCTGGACCCTCTACCCCCTCTTACCTTATTTCAGTCTCTTTGCCCCCATCGGTCTTCTGCTGCTGTCCGTCTTCAGCAACCTTTATTTTCACAGCCCCCACCTGAGGTGTGCCCCGGAAGCACTCACACCCCTCCTCACAGGTGTCCACCGTCAGGCTGTGGACGTGTCTTCCTCCCACACGCCCCTTCTCTACCCCAGGTTTGCCACCAAGGTTTTCGGAGCAAACCCCCAAAGGCCGCTGTCTTCTCTCACCCCTCCGTCCACACTGCCACGTGTTCCCTCTCCACAGGCTGCACCTGGCTTTCTCTTGGCCCGTCACCCCTGCCTCCAGGGCCCACCCAGGGGAGCTGCCACCCGAGCCGAGGCGCAGCGGCGGGGGAGCAGGAGCCCCCCGCCATGAGCACTGCCATGGACACAGCCGCAACGGGCTCCCTCCAGCCAGGGCACCCCGAAAGGTTTCATGAGCAGCTCATGTGCACGCGTCCCCCCCCAGGTTCGCTCTAGATCGCCCCCCACACCTCCGCTTCCTCCAGGGGGAACCCCTGCTCAGTCCCCAGCGGGAGCGCCCGGCTGGCGGCCTTCTCCGGGTCTCTGCCCACGCCGCCCCCCACCCCCAGCCCCCGCTGCGCGCACTCTGACCTCACAGTCAGCTCTTTTGGGGGGACAGCCCAGCCCCAGGGGTACTCACTGCCGTCCCCGCCGCCTCAGGCTCTCCTCGCCGCCGCCGCCAGGCAGCTCCTGTGCAGGTCCCACCCCCCCCAGGATCGCGCTGGACGGCCCCCCGCAGCCGCGCTCCCTCCAGGGGGAGCCCCTGCCCAGCCCCAACTCCGGCCTCCCCAGCAGGCGCGCGCGGCTCGGCTCGGGGCCTTCTCCCGGCTGCGGGCTCGGCGCAGGCCGCCCCCCACCCCCAGCCCGGGGTGCGCACTCTGAGGTCTGAGACCCTCCGGTCTCTTGGGGGACAGCCCAGCCCCAGGGGTACTCACTGCCGTCCCCGCCGCACCAGGTCTCGTCCCCGCCCTGCGGGCGGCCCCTGCGCTCAGGCCGCCCTCGGCCGGGGGGCACCGCCCGCCCAGGAGAGCGCGCTCCCCGCGGGCCGCTCCGGGCGCCTCCCCGCCGTGGGCGCCCCCGCAGGCCAGGGCCCCGCAGGGCCCCCCCGCGCCCGGAGGCTCCTCGGGCCCCGACCCTCCCTCTCCAGCCCACGGGCCGCGCCCCCAGGGGCCGCGAGGCGGCTCCGCTGCTCCCGGAGCCTCCGCAGCTGCGTCCCCCGTTCCGGGCTCCCGACCTGGGCGCCCGCTTTGGGCGCGTCTGGGCGGCTTCTTGAGACGCTCCCGCCGGCTGCGGAGAAGCTCCCCCCAGGCCGCTGCAGGCCGCCCCGACTGTCCTCTCCGGGGGCGCAGAGGATCCCTCGCTCCCCCTCCCCGGCGGGCGCCTCGGAGAAGGCGTCCCCCGCCCCAGCCCCTGGCGTGCTCGGGGGGCCCCGCCGTCCGTGGCGGGGGCCCCGTCAGCGCCGGGCGAGCGGCTGGGGCGTCGGGCTCCTGCTCCCCCGCCGCTGCGCCTCGGCTCGGCTCGGGGTCCTGGGCGGGCCCCGCGGCAGCTCCCCGCTCCGCTCCAGTCTCCGGCGGCCGCTCCCGGGGCGCGGCCGCCTCCTGGGGGTTCCCGGCGCCTCCAGGCTCGCCCTCCCCCCGCGGGCAGAGCTTCGAGGGACGCTCGCCCCAGACCTGCTCTGAGCGGGGCCCGAGTCCGTCGGCGGCCCCCGCCGTGCGCACCCCGCGCCCCGCTCCCGTCCCAGCCCTTCGGGGGCCGCGTTCCCGTAGGCGCCGGGTCCTGCCGCCCGGGCCGGCTCCGGGAGCTCCGGGCACACGGGCAGAGGGTCCCGGGGATCCGGGGGCTGACGGGGCCTTTCGCGTTCTCCCCGACAGCGCAGCCGGGCGCCCGGGGGCAGGGCGGGCAGGAGGCCCGGCCCCGGTGAACCCCGACTCTCCGGGCTCTCTGGGCGGGCCGGGGGCTGAGGGGCCGGGATGCGGGGCTGAAGTGGGGGGGCTCCAGGGGGCAGGCCCCCCCAGCGCCCGGGCATCTGGACGCTCTCGGGGCTCTCTCCGGCGTTCCCGCGGGGTCTGCTCCCGTCCTGGCCGCTGCGCGTCCGCTCTCGCCGCCGCTCTCGCTGGGGGCCCGAGCCCGCCCGGCCGCCGGGTCGCCGCCTTATATGCTCCGCCCCCGCGCCCAGGGGTGCGCCCTCGCCCGCCCCGCGCCTCCCGCGCCCAGGGCCCAGGTGCTGCCGCGGAGGCCCCGGCGCCCGAGCAGAGCGGCGGCCTGGACGCCACAGACCCCCGCTCCGGCCCTGAGCCCCACCCCGGTGCGCGCCCCGGATCTGCTCGGAGCCGCCCCTCAAAGGGTCGCAGCGTCTGGTGTGTTTCGGGGGAGACCTTGAGACCGACTTTACAGGGACTTCAAATGCACAGGAAACTTTCAGGGCAGCTCAGGTGCTCTCTGGCTCACGCTCAGATTCCTGCTTTCCCGTGTATTTTGCTTCCCATGAAACACTCATGTGTTTTCATCACCATATTCCATTTTGTATTGAACCAAAATATTCCGGGGATCTAGCACATCACCCCCAAAATAAATCATCCTGGTTTCCATGTTAGAATCCATTTCAGCTGTCCCCACCTGCCCCACCTGGGTGAGAGCATCTTCTTCCCTCGGATCGACTTTTCTCTTTGGCAGCTGTTCCTGACGCTGCTGCTTTTTCACAACCACGAGGGGTGGAGTGTGTGCCCCTGCCTGCACTGTGGGGTGTCTTTTGTTTTTTTTTTAAAGATTTATTTATTGATGCATACAAGAATTGGGGCGCAGGCCAGAGGTGTGGGGGTTTCCGAGAGGATTCCCCAGAGTAGGGAGCAGAAGAGGCGGATCTACACTGCTGAGGGGAGCAGCTGGCGAGGCAGGAGAGCTCTGCTGGGCCACGTGGTTGCTCCGTGGTCAGGGATCGAACTCGTGCTGTTGTGGCTGCGGACTTAACCCCTTCCGCCACCAGGGAGGCCCAATAAATAAATCTTTAAAAATAATAAACAACAGCATGCTGTCACCGGAGCTCCAGAGACTTCAACTGGGCGTATGATCAACGGGGTGTGTTGCTGAAACACTGATTGTGAATCACTTATCCTGCAAAAAACCGAGAAACTAGAGAACTGTATCCTTCAAACTTTAAAAGACTCTTCGCTTTTGTAGGTGGGGGGGGAGGGGGCGGGCGCTGGGGCGGGTGAGGGCGCACACCTGGGGAGCCCGGGCGGAGCATCCATGCGCAAGGAATTGAACGCAATTTAGTAAAAGGTCCTTTGAAACACAAGCGCCAGGAATCCTTCACAGACTCGCGAGGCCTTCGCCTGCTCTGCGAGAACAAGAGCCGCAGCCACAGAGATGAAACACGTGCCATTCACACGGTTAGAAAGAGTTGAACAAAAAAGGTGGCGAGCTGACCTCCTCCCAATCTCCCTTTAGGACACACACTCAGGGGAGAGCGCGGGCGCAGACCCCCCGCCACACCTGACGCAGCGAGTTTCCCGCAGGTGGGGAAGCCGCAGGGGTCGGCACGCCCGGGGCGCAGCGGACCAGCCTCGCCCTGGGAGAACCACCTTCGTGATGGTGATCGTCGTGTCTCCCCTGCCAGGTCAGTGGGAGCGGCCCGCGCGCCGCCACGTGCGCCCGGCTCCCCGCCTCGCTCTGCACCCACGGCTCGGCTCGCGCCGCCCGCCCACCCCGACGCCCGCGACGGCCCTCGCCCCCACCTCGCCGGGCCCGAAAACACTCCGCGGGGAGGGGGCACTGGCGCCCCCAGATCAGCCGGCGCAGGGTCAAGCGCAGCAGACCCAGCTTCCTCCGCGCGCTGCTCATCTGCATCCGCCACGCCCTCCATGCGCGCCGTCGGGGTTCGTGCCCCAACCAGGCTGTAAGAGTAGAGAGCACCCGGGGGAAGTCCTGGACTCTCCCAACTAAAATGAACATTAGGGGCCTCCCTGGTGGCGCAAGGAGTTAAGACGCAGCACTCTGAAGGCACCCGCAGCCACTGCAGCACGAGTTTGATCCCTGGCGGCCAGGGAGCTACCCACATGGCACAGCAGACATCGTCTGTCTCCCCTGCTGCTCCTCTCAGCGGTGTGTCTCAGTCAATCCCCAGTTCTATTCCCCAGTCTGTCTCTTGCCTGTACCCCAGTTCTTGTATGCATAAATAAATCTTTAAAAAAAATAAAATTAGATTGAAGGGCCTCCTTGGTAGCACAAGGGGTTAAGACACAGCCCTATGAAGCAATCCGGAGCCACTGCAGCACAAGTTCAATCCTGGCCAGGGAGCTACCCACATGGTGCAGCAGACCTCTCCTGTCTTGCCCGCTGCTCCCCTCAGCAGCGTATTTCAGTCAAACATCATTTGCAGTTTTACTTTTAAATGCATATTTTAGCAATGGTAGAAACTAGTCATAAACAAATGAGGAGAATCTTGGAGTCAGCTAACGAGATTCCTGATTTTTCAGAAATCTGCCCCATGCCCAGACTTTTGTCAGACAACATGAGTAGCGTGGCTCCCAATACCCCTCAGCAATGTATTTCAGTCAGTCTGCCTGTTCTGTTCCCCACTCTGTCTCTTGTGAGTCCTCTCACCCGCTGCACCTCTGGCCTGTACCCCAGTTCTTGTATGCATAAATAAATAAATCTTTAAAAAAAAAGTTAAATTCCTGCTATGAGTGAGACCATCGGGTATTTTTCTTTTTCTTTCTGGCTTATTTCACTGAGCGTGATCCCTTCCAACTCCATGCATGTTGCTGCAAATTACATGAGTTTATCTTTTTTGATTGCTGAGTAATATTCCATTGTGTCTGTATACCACATATTCTTGATCCAGTCATCTATTTTCGGGCATTTGGGTTGTTTCCATAGCTTAGCTATTGTAAATAGTGCTGCTATAAACTTAGGGGTGCAGGTGCCCTTTTGAATTAATGTTTCTGTGTCCCTTGGGTAAATACCTAGGAGTGGAGTTACTGGATCATATGGAAAATGCATACATTGTGCAAAAATGAAAAATGATGTTAGAATTACATAAAATAAAATCATTTATAAAAAACTTATAAGTATTCAATAAAAACAATTACATCCAATTATGAAAAAAAGTTTAAAAAAAGTTCAATTCATTCATTATTTTAATTATCCACCCTTCCCATCATTGTGCTCATGTTTTCCTTTAAATCTTTGAGTATTGGGCATATTTTTTCCTTTAAAATAAACTTTATTTTTAGAGAAGTTATAAGTTTGTAG